AAATCAAGTTTTTTATGTTGTTTATTTGTCTATGTGGTGTTTTTAATATGCTTTTAGACAAACCATGTGCCAATCTATTAATCAACACCATTGCTGTGTATTTTCTCCTTAAAACTGTAGTTTCCCAATGGCTGACCCAGAAATACGGTTTGAAACAGCCCTCGGTTTGCTACGTCACAAATCAATAACCAATCACATCAAGGGATCGATTCCTATCACTAGCATGCAAAATATACCAATACCAGCACAAAACCAAAAATAAATCAGAGCAAAAAACCCATGAAGCTGTGGTTTAATGTGAATTTAGAACCGCTAACTTATATAGCATTATAACCCGTGACAACAGTGTAAAAGTAGCCCGGAGTCAGACCCACCTCTCCCACATCGGCGTCTGCACTTCACACGCGTATGTATGCTCGCGGGCGCGAATTAACAATCACAAACGGCTGCATTCGAGTCTTCAAGGCATTTTAGGACACAACATCGTCAAGTAAGTAACTTTATCGAATGTTACAGTATTCACTGTAGTTGTCCGCTAGTAAAAACATAGTTTTATCAGTCATTATCCGTGTATGCCATTGTTTTGCATTACTACAGTTCAGTGAATCAGGAGGCACTGGCTGGTGTGACTAAGTGGAGGGGGGGCTAATTTGCATATTCATAGATCCACGTAAAGTAAATGAGGCAAGGGTGTTGAGTTACATTCAAGCTATTTTAATGAATGAGAAAATTATTTTCACAAGAAAAAACATTTAAATATGTAATTTTGATGACCAAAGATAAGTTTTAAGGGATAAAACATTTGACTACAGGGGGACTTTAAAATTGTGTTTCAAGTTTTTCCACAAGTAATAAAAGTATGAAAAAAGTAAACAAGTTTCACACAAAAGTGTCATATTTCTGCTGCCGCCGAAAAACAACTGTAAACTGTTGTCTGTTTTAGAGTTTGCTGGGGTGTTTCATGATCTTCCTCAGCCTGCAGCTGTAAAAGGAAAATATAATATACTTAAGTAAAGCAATGGGCTGAGTCTGACCAAATGCAATATTAGATCATTGACACCAGCTAAAATTTTACTTTTCAGTAAATAATAAACCTCAGCTTTTATAATAAATTTAGATAAGATTAAATATATTAAGTGTATATCAAATAGATGGAAACTGTAGTATAAAAAACACTTAGATAATATTACTGTTATGGGGCTGACGAGACGTGAGACATGCGGATCCATGTACAAGCTTAATTAAAGCAGAGGAGGTCAGAAACATAGGCAGGGTCGAACAGTGGCAAACAGGTATATGGCGGGCAAGACACAAGAATAATCCTAGGGCTAGCGAAGGTCAACGAACGGCGAACAGAATCAAAAGGGCAAGACTAAAGGGATAAATCCAGGAAAACAGGCAAAGATCAGAAACCGCGAAAACAGACAAGGCAAGACTAGGCTAAGGCAGGGTAAACTAACGAGGGCTCTGTAGTGTAGTTATCAAATGATAAGCGCTAAACAATACTCGGCACCAGGAAGGGATCAGAGTGAGTGTTAAATAGTGAGTGAGTGATATGAAACAGCTGTGTGCAATCAGTGCTGTGTGCAATCAGTGCAATGAATGATGGGATATGTAGTCCGGGGTGATATGCAACAGTGTGTACCACCCCGGCAGGGCAGAAGACCAATACGGCGGAGCAGAGGACCACCAGAGCCAGACAGTAGACCACCACGGCGGGGCAGAGAACCACCACGGCGGAGCGGAGGACCACCACGGTGGAGCAGAGGACCACCAGAGCCAGACAGACCACCACGGCGGAGCAGAAGGAACAGGGAACCCCCCCGGTGATCCACACCGATCAGGAGACCATGGCGGAGACTGTAATAATGAAAGAGGAGAGACAGACAACACAGACAGAACATTGGGGTTGACAGACAAGGCTGAGTGTTCAGAGGCAGCCTCCTTGGCTGGATCGGGACAGGACAAAAGTTCACAAACGACCTCCTTGGCCGACACAAAGCATGCAAAGAATTCACAAACGGCCTCCATAGCCGCGACAGGACAGGATGATGATTCCCCGACGGCCTCCATAGCCGTGACAGGACGAGCAGGGAGTTCGCAAACGGCCTCTATAGCTGTGACAGAACGAGCAGGGAGTTCGCAAACGACCTCTATGGCCGTGACAGGACGGGCAGAGGGTTCACAGACGGCCTCCTTAGCCGTGACAGGATAGACAGAGAGTTCATAGGCGGCCTCCTTGGCCGGAACAGAACAGGCAGAGAGTTCATAGGCGGCCTCCTTGGCCGGAACAGGACAGGCTGAAAGTGCGTTGCTGGGCGCCACCACCACGCAAGGAGCTGAAGCGAGCACCGCCATTTCGGGAGGTTCTGCAGCATGCGCCCCCACCTCTGAAGAGACTGCAGTTGGTACCATGGCCTCTGGGAGCACAGCAGCGGACACCACTACCTCAGGAGGTTCTGCAGCGTAAGCCGCCACCTCTGGAGATGTTGTAGCCGGTGCCGCTGCCTCTAGCAAATCGGCGGTGGAGTACGCGGCCCAGATGCACCATAAAGCGATCCCCATGGTGGGAAGTGCTACAGACAGAGGAAATAGTTCAGAAGCTGGAGGGCTTGAGAGCGCTGGTTTAGGGATGCCAGCTGCACGTGCCGACACCAGCGGTGGGTCCTCCACGCTGGAAGCCAGTATGGGATACTGAAGAACTGACCTTGATACTCTGGGTGTAACAGACAGGACGTGACATGACTCTGGATGATCAGCTGTGATGCGACGTGATTCTGGATGATCAGCTGTGATGTGACGTGACTCTGGATGAATAGCTGAGACGTGACGTGACTCTGGACGAACAGCTGAGACGTGACGAGGCTCTGGACAAACAGCTGAGACGTGACGAGGCTCTGGATGAACAGCTGAGATGTGACGAGGCTCTGGCAGATCAGCTGAGACTTGACTAGACTCATGAAGATCAGCTGTGACTTGACTAGACTATGAAGAACAGCTGTGACTTGACTTGCCTCATGAAGATCAGCTGTGACTTGACTGGCCTCATGAAGATCAGCTGAGACTTGACTTAACTCATGAAGATCAGCTGTGACTTGACTTGACTCCTGACGATCAGCTGTAACTTGACTTGACTCCTGACGATCCGCTGTGACTTGACTTGCCTCATGAAGATCAGCTGTGACTTGACTGGCCTCATGATCTAGTGTCGCCGCCATTACACAAGCGGACACGGTGTCATGTTTCTCCGCAACACCCACCGTGAACACGGAGTCAACACACACCAGAGCAAAATCCCCAAAATTGCTTAGAGAAGAATGGGAACCCTCACGGGTTAATCGTGACTTTAAAGGTTAATTTACTCCATCACAAAAAAGTCTATCAGTACACAATCTGGCAGATCAGAATAACACGCAATATCCAGATACTCTTGAATATAGCCTTCAAGGGGGTGTGTGCCCTGCTTTAAGGCTAATAAAAGTTTTGCAGTGTCCATACCTGGCCAATGTCCACATGAAAAGCTGCTGGATCCTCGTGTGGCCGAGTATTCTGTTACGGGGCTGACGAGACGTGAGACATGCGGATCCATGTGCAAGCTTAATTAAAGCAGAGGAGGTCAGAAACTTAGGCAGGGTCGAACAGTGGCAAACAGGTATATGGCGGGCAAGACACAAGAATAATCCTAGGGCTAGTGAAGGTCAACGAACGGCGAACAGAATCAAAAGGGCAAGACTAAAAGGATAAATCCAGGAAAACAGGCAAAGATCAGAAACCGCGAAAACAGACAAGGCAAGACTAGGCTAAGGCAGGGTAAACTAACAAGGGCTCTGTAGTGTAGATGGCTAGCAGACGGAAGTTCATGGACCGGATACGTAACAATTACCTAACAATAATAAATAGTTATATAGCAATTTTTCTTCTTAGGCTTAATTTCAAAATTTACTAATACATAAATCACAAGTTCAATCTGTTAAAATTATTTAATGCACAATGAACAAACATGAATGATCAAGTGTTTGTATTAAATAACATTCACAAACATTTAATGTTTTAAAACAATTAATTTCGTAAACATATATTGTTCACTCACTGTAAGCTGATGTTAGATAACATGAAGTCGTTGTAAAGTTTATACAGGAGATACAATTTGACTGTACTTTTCTTTAATCCAAACTGTGTTCATATTTAATTTTTAAAGGGCTTTTAAAGCCTGTATAAATAAATAAATTAAGCCAAGAACTGTTTTTATGACGGACTGATATGTCATAAACGCTGTTAACCATACATTTGTACATTATCTAACGCGCATATTTTGGATACACAGTTCATTTAAAAGCCTTGTGTGTAAAAATAGTAAATACCATTATGTCCTCCAGTTTTCTTTACACTAATACAAGTTATAGGGGCATTACATAGTTAACAAAGAAACTTAATTCTAATGCTCATTATATTAGAGTTAGTCGTGCTTATGGTAACGATTAACTTACGCTAACGGCGATGTTTATTTCAATCCGACAATCAAATTAAAATATGCAATAATATTAATTACAGAAGCTCTAAATATTAAAAATTAAATTGAAACTTACCTGCTTGAACTCTTTCATTTGATCCGGGTGTCGGTCTTTAAGGTGTTTTGTTAGTTTGATGTGTTGCTATCCTCCTTTTGAATTCGCCCGTCTCAGTGATTTTATGAAGAGGAGGCAACTGCGTTGTGCACCTTTCGGATAGTGTATCAAGAACCTGGTTGACCGGGTACTCTGTACCACCGGTACTTAAGAAAAGCTGGTACCGTAACGTTTTCATTGTTTTAGTACCGACTTGGTACCGAAATACCGGTTCTTTTGACAACACTAGTTCGAACACGGAAGCAAAGAAACATGCATGTGGGTAGTATATATCTTGGCACCCACATTCAAAGTGTCCCATCTCCGAAAGTGTCTTCTTCCGTCGTTCCTCTTCTGCTTTTAACAGTGGCCTTCTTTGTCATCATTAAATGAAGCATGAGAGGACAGCAAGAGTGTGACACTGGAAAGGATGAAGTGCTGGAGATATTCTCCGGCTGCTGGAGTAAGATAGGCAGCCGTTATCTTCAGGTTCTGGGAGATGTTGGACGGCTAGGTTTTGGACTTGCAATATTTTAGTTTAGTTTAGTTTAGTCAATATAAACTTTTTAGGCTCAACAACTCAAATATAACATTTCCTGAATATAATTTTGTTCCATCAGACTCCAGATATTGAGCCTTTCTCTGTTAATTCTCGTCTTTATGTCTTTAGATTTATATAGTCGACAAACAATGATGAACGACAGCAAATTAAATTAAGCATGAAGCTAATTTTATTTTCTTTATCTAAATTGTTTCCAAAGGGATTCTGAAAAGGGGGCATTGCATATTGGACAATAATAGAGTCAGGTGGAGAAGAGAGGGGTTGGAAAGTAATGGAATCTGTATCAGCTTAAATATTTAGATTATTTTTTTAAATTCAGAATAACATGCAATGATAATTTGTGCACAAACAGAACAAAAACATGTATTAAAAAATATATATATATGGTAAATGTTGATGCCATTCTGATGTCATGTTGACTTAAGCAACATTCATGTCTCTAAGCCTGTGGAAATGCTGTGTTTGTTTGTGTTTGTGGAAGACAGGGAGTAGAATCTGTTTTTAAGTATAAAATGAGGTCAGGATGTATTTTTTTTAATATTTAATGGAAAAAACGCAGTGGGCTGTTGGCTGCTGTAGTGAATCTTTTTTACTTACCATGAAAGTATTCACACGGTTATATTCAGTATTTTCAATTATTTTGATAATTTGTGATTTTGCTAGAGCTTATATACAGTATATATACATATACATACATATATATATATATATATATATATATATATATATATATATATATATATATATATATATATATATATGTACCATAGGTACCAACTGGCTGTCACACCTCATGGACTTTCAGCTTGTTTTCTTCCCTCATGTTTCCCTTGACCAAGTTTTTCCTCGTGTTTTGATTAGTTCATTCTGTTCACCTGTGTTCTTTTAATCTAGTCATTAGTCCCTTGTTTGAGTTAGTGTAAGTACTCCCCGTTCGTTCCTTATGTTGTTCGGTATTGTTGGATGTTACCACTGTGTGTGAGACCTTCTTCATCTTGTGGATTATCATTATTATCTTTGTCGTGCCTTCATTCATTCTTGCAGCAGTCGTGTGACACTGGAAGCCCTAGTTTTTACATAAAAAATAAATAAATAAAGTTCTAAATTGCTCTGCTCTGTATGAAACCAGCATGTGAGAGTGACCCTAATCCCTCCCCCACCCCTGTGTGTCATGTGTGTATGTAAATCTGTGTCCACACTCCACATGTGAGAATCTGCTTCATCATTATTCAAAACGAGCAGCCGTGGTCATGTGATTCTGTGCGCGGCACACGGCTTAGGCTGAGAGGGACTGAACGACAGAAGGACATAAAATGAAATACAAAGAGAGGAAAAGGATAAAGAAGAAACAAAGTGTGAAAGATTAGGGATGATGAATGAGGCGGATCTCAGATATAATGTCACACCTCAGCTGCAGACAGGAAGCTGCTTATTAGGCCTGCGGGACACACTGTTAGCTTTCATTAGGGAGGTCAGAACACACAAGGGGGCGCGAACATATGTGTGTGTGTGTGTTTTCATATGTTTGCACAGGTGTTATCTCCATCAAACAAACTGTGTCTACAGTTTTTTTCCCCTCCATGTCTCCATGTCGTTATGTGTTATACTAATGACGTGTTTTGCCAGACGTGTTGATGAGTTATCAGAATATCTGTGTGCATGTGTGTCCTTCATCTCTCCTCCAAGAACAAGATGGAGAGATTAGGGCTCATTTTGATGACATCACAGGCAGACTGAATGGAGCTTCCCATGAGCCTTCTGGGCTGAGTTGCCATGGTAATCTATATAGATCACCCTGGATTCCCATTTATGATTTCTTTGCAGGTGTGAGTCTAACCACACACACACACGCATGCATCACAGCTCAAGAAAATGACTCACCTTGGCAGTGATGCTCTGAGATGGTTTCTTTTATTGGACAATCATCACTGTTACTAATCTTGCGCTTTAACACTAGAGCATTTGGTGCAGGCCTGAGTCTGCATAGTAACTGCATATCAACTCACTAAAAATCACTTAACAAAGCTAAGCAATTAAAATCTTGTTCTTGAGGCAGTCACATCAGTACAAATGTACAAATGGCGGAGTGTCCATTTCAATATTGGTCAATGCGGCGAATTCGCGTTCAAGTGCACACAATTGAATCTGGTGTGAAAATCTTGTGGGGAACGAATCCCTCTCGCAGTATTCCATATCGCACAGTTCCTATAGAGACGACGTGGGCTGCCCTCCGAATTCGCAGTTTAATTAGCTCCTGAGCAAAGCGATATAGCAATGTTCAAAAAACCTCACACAATACACTTTAGCAACCGCATAATATTGCCCTGGCAACCACTCACAACACCTTAGCATTTTACTGGCAAGTTTTGCATCCCAAGCACCGCTAGAATTTTTTTCTGAGAATGTAAAAAATCTAGTTGGAGATAATCAGTACCACTATAACCTAGAGAAATTAAGAGTGATGTGTGTTTCATCCATGTAGGAACCTGTTTAGGAGTTAAAGGAATAGTTCACCCAAAAACGAAAATTTGATGTTAATTTACGTAATTCTTAGCTGAAACCGTGGTTCTTAGTGATTCATAAAATGCCAGTCAGCTGCTTCTTGTCTTTGAGAATTAAAAAAAGAATATAAAGGAAAACAAAATTAGTACCAGTGGCTCCTGACAATATATTGAGGTCTTATGAAGCAAAGCGATCGGTCTGTGCAAGAAACTGAACATTATTTACAACATTATTACCTGTAATCCAGAGCCTCAGGCAAACAGGAAAATACTATTCTTTTCCACGAACTGGTTCTTTTGAAGTGTTAGTTTCTATGAATTGGTTCAATTCACTAGGCCGTTTAAGTAATCACGCAATGATGTACAGTAATATACACAATTATATTATTAAAGCACCCAATAATGATGTGAAACGTGGATGTTTTACATGCTAAATCATATAAAGTTAATAAACTTGTCTTGATCAGCTCACCTTTTTACACAAACAATGAGAAACCATAAAAACTTTCATTTCGTATGTGCATATCACCGGCTCATTGTTCTTTGGTCTGAGTTGGAACTTTTTACTCAGTTCAGTGACTGTTGGAGTAAGTGCTGAATGAGTTGGCAAAACCAGCATCATAGGATCAGTTAAGCCGGTATTTTGACTCATTTTGAGTTGGAGTGATTGTCAGGCATGTCCGAAAGTGAGTTTTGATTGAGTAACTTGTATATCTGTGCTGCTCAAGCTGCGAACTGTTGCAAACTGATTCATACAAAGTATTTGTGAAATCTAGCTAACAAAATATATATTGTGTGTTGGAGTGTTCCAGACGCTACATCTATTTCACTAAAAAGAACCAGTTCAAAAGAATGATTCGTTCACAAACCAGTCATCACTCCGGAGCGTATGCCTGAAGCTCTGGATTACAGGTAATAATGTAAATAATGTTCAGTTTGATGTGATATGCTTGATATGCTTTTTATTCTCAAACACGGGCAGCCTCTGACTTTCAATTTATGAATCGCAGAGGGCCGCTGTTTCAGCTAAAACGCTTCTTTACTGTTCTACTCAAGAAAAAAAGCTTTCTAAACCTTAACTAAGGTTTTGCAACAAATTCATATAAATTAATAAGTACATTTCTCAGGACTTTCAAGACTACTGAATAATTATTACATATGACTATTATATACAGTATGCTGATTCAGGAATTTGACGGAGAAGAAGGTCTGTTAATTAAATTAACCGTACAATTTCTTTTTTAGGCCTAAATTTGTGTTGTTTTTAGATGGATTTTGAAAGCTAACATTATCTAGTCTATAGCTTTCTCTTTTTCTTGTAGTTATAGTTTTTAGTTACAATCCCAATATTGTTATTAAAGCGGTATAAAGTTGATTCTAAACATTATTAGCTCCAGAAGCTCCAAATTTGCTTTCAGCAGACATGTGGCATGCTTTAAACACAAACTCTCAAACATTTGTAGAATGGTGCCCTAATTTTCAGACAACAGAGAAGTAGAGAGGAAATTAATCCACTGTTTGTTCTTATTCTATATATATATATATATATATATATATATATACACATAACTATATGTAGAATACTGTAGAATTTTATTTCTCACTGTTATAAAAACTAGGGCTTTTATTGAATTAAAAACCATGATTAATCTCATGATTTCCGACTGGTCGCTTTCACAGCCCTGTTGTGTTTATAATTGCGCTTTAGAAACTGTTCTACCTCAAATTTTCCAGCTTGTTTAAAAAAGATCTTATATAAGTTGTGTTCATTTGTGAAGATTATCTTGATGAACAACAGGTGTAAGAATGATACACTTTTGTTGGTCACAGAGCTCATTTTCTGCAGTAGCCAATGGAAAAATCCTATTGACTTTTTGTCGAAGGAACCAGTATGGAAGAAAAATAATGACAAATGTCTTTGAAACAAAAAAGCATGTTGAAAACAAGACAGTTAGTGCAATTCAACAAGCTTTTTTGTTTCAAAGACATTTTGTCATTATTTTTCTTCCATAAACCAGGGTGATGTGAACCTCCAGGTTGGCTTACAAAAATACGTCATCACTGAAGAGCTCTGTAGCTATTTTGTTTAGAATGTTTTGTGATAACTGGCCTCCTCTGTTTGTCCCTGGCAGGCCACCGTACCCTTTACATTGGGGTGCATGTACCTCTGGGTCGGAGGTCACACAGACGGCATCGTCACCATGGACACCGCCACAGGAAGAGGTCACGGGAGAGAGACTCTGGAACCGAGGATGGCAGAGAATCTCCTTCATACAGTAAGTCTGTCACTCTACCAGGATAAATGAAAACTTGGAGTGAAAAAGGACAGAGATAAAAAATAAAATGTCTCTCTGTTTCTCTGTAGCAGACACGCCGTCTCAGCGTGTACAGTTCCTGCTGGGAATGGAGGATGACGAGGAACACATTCCTCACGCTCTCTTCACCGAGCTGGACGAAATCTGCTTGAAGGAGGGAGAGGATGCGGAATGGAAAGAGACAGCCAGGTACAAATACACACACACAGAGGACACACAGGGACAAAATTGTGAGAAATGTATCATCGTTATAAAAATACAACAATATGTTTTATATATTAGGGCTGTCAAATCGATTAATCGCGATTAGTTGCATCTAAAATAAAAGTTTGTGTTTACATAATATATGTGTGTGTACTGTGCATATTTATTATGTGAATATAAATACACACATGCATGTATATATTTAAGAAATATTTGCATGTATGTTTATATATCAATAATTTAAATTTTTTTGTAAAGTATACAATGTGAACTCTTTTTTCCATATGTAATTTATATAATGTATAAATATATTACATATATTTCTTAAATATATACACATATGTATGTTTATTTATATACACATATTTATACATACAGTATATGCATTTATGTGTATTACATACTGTATAATACACACAGCACACGCACATATATTTTGTAAACACAAACTTTTATTTGGGATGCGATTCATCACAATTAATCGATTTGACAGCCCTATATATATACTAAATTAAAGTATTTTTGGAGAAAAAAAGAGATTGTTATCAATATAATCAATAACCAATATTATAAAATCATTTATGAAATGAATATGAATTACTTTTTTAAAACATTACATATTAAAATATATAATAAAATATATAACGATATATAGTTATAAAATAGAAATTTATTATATTAAAAATTAACATATAATGTTACATATTATTAAATGTATTTATTTTATTATACTTATAATAAAATATATAACTATATATAGTTATAAAATAGAAATGTATTATATTAAATATGATAACATATAATGTTACATATTATTAAATGTATTTATTTATTTATTTTATTATACTTTTATTTGATAAAATTAAATATTATTAAATGGTAAATTATATTGTTATCAAAATTATAGTATAGTATTATAGTGTAACATGAAGTTATATTAAATTAAACAAAAACACAAACCCAAAAAGACTCCTCATTTCAGAAGTCCAACAAACGCCGCTACAAAGAGGGTTTGATGACCTGTCAGAAACAAACTGTAGAGTGAGATTACTGCAAAATAAAATGGTTTCAAATCAATATATCGAGAGCACACCTACTTAAGGGCAACATTTGTGGTTTGGAATAGCAGATAGGTGTATATCCATTACAACTAATGCAATACAAGATTGTGGTACTGCAGCTAAATGAGAAAACTAATTTAATAGTCATTCTCATTGACACTCTTTTTTTCTCCCACTCTTCTCCTTATCTTCTCTCTCCTGTCCCTTATTGGTCTGTAGATGGCTGAAGTTTGAGGAGGATGTAGAAGACGGAGGGGAGAGGTGGAGTAAGCCATATGTGGCTACTCTTTCCCTTCACAGTCTGTTTGAGCTGCGGAGCTGCATCCTCAACGGCACCGTCATGCTGGACATGAGGGCCAACTCACTGGAGGAGATTGCAGGTATAGAGTCTGAAAACATTGTCCAGTCTAGATCTGCCTTCCTTCTCATTTCAGTTAGCAATATACAGTAGGCCCATTCAGCATGTGTCCCAATTAGCATTCTGTCCTAAATGCATGCAAGATTAGATTTTTGCATCCCAAATGATAGTACATTGAAAATAATGTGCCACAGATGCCGTTGATATACTTTTTTAGGTTGGATTTTCACAATCTGTGCATGTTTTTTGACTAATATGCTAATGCATTCCAACAACTCTTAACATAACTGAAGAGGAGTTTGTGATGTTCTCTTTCAACCTTTTTTTTTTAGTTAAAGTAGCAATCAATGACACACAAGTAAGATTTTTAATGTTTTCTAAATGAGTGTCAAGGTTGCATTTATTTGATCAAAATACTATTTTAAGTAAAATAGTAATACTGTATTATTATTACAATCCTACTGAAAACATTTCTAATATGCTGATTTACTCTCAATGTTGGAAACCGTTGTGCTGCTTAATATTTTTTTGGAATCTATGATACAGGACTCTTTGAAGAATAAAAAGAACAGCATTTATTCAAAATAGAAATCTTTTGTTACAATATACATTACTGTTCAAAAGTTTGGTTTTTATTTGAAAGCAATTTTTTTTACTTTTATTCAGCAAGTATATGTTAAATTGATCAAATGTGACAGTAAAGACTTGTATTGTTATAAAAGATTTCTATTTTGAATAAATTGCTGATGTGGTGATCAAGAAACATTTCTAATTATTATCAATGTTGAAAATAGTTGTGCTGCTTCACATTTTTCAGTATTCATTGGTGAATAGAAAGACCAGAAGAACAGCATTTATTTGAAATAGAAATCTTCTGTAGCATTGTGTAAATGTCAGGGTTCGTACGGTCATGAAAAACCTGGAAAAGTCATGGAATTTTAAAACACCAATTTCCAGGCCTGGAAAAGTTTTGGAAAAATAAATAAACCCAGAAAGTTTTGGAAAAGTCATTGAAATCTATTTCACAAAACTCTGTATAATAGAATTGTGTTTAATCAGGTCCTGAATTTCGGTGCGGGATTGCGCATAGGCTATATCGCATAGTTTTACTCAGTCCCGTAGCTTTTGACTTTAAAATGATGGATATGCACACATTTATTCAGTTGCCTATAGTATGTAGGTTTGATGAGTAAATAATCAAACCTACAGACTGAGTCCAGTCCACACAGACTGATCAAATCAGTCATTTGAAAACAGCGTGAGTGATTCAGCTGTACGCGTCTTCTCTCTTTGACTTTCTCTTCAAACGGCTTCACATCGGCACATCTTGTCTGCGCTACAAGAGCCGCTGCACGCTGCGATACAAGACTTTCACTCGCATTTCGGGACAGTTGACAGAATAGTCACTTGCCTAATCGGGTCATTGTTGCATCGTCAGAAAATTGTATTATTTATTTGCACGTCTCCAGAGGCGGTGCGCAGTCACATCCAAAGTGCGCTTGTGCGTATATGAGTATTGAGTTTGCTACCAAATAAGCTCAGCAGAAGCCTGCACGGGCCTCAAACATATGCCCTAGTCCAGCCCTTATCCGACAGATTATCAGAATTACTGGCCGAGTCCGACTGGAGCCCGTGTCTTTTTTCTCTTTCTCTCTTCCCCAATTACACAGCTGCTGTTGTAGCCATTAAAATAGTTCAGTTTAGTTTTTAATGGTAAAAGTGGTTATTTATATTTTCGTTTCTTTATTGCGTTAATTCAGAAATATGTTTGGAAAATGTTTTTGTTTGTTAAATTCAAGTTTTTGTTTTTTTTAAGTAAGCGGCCAGTGGCAGACAGTGAGTTAATCATAGCCTATGTTTGATCAATTTAGCCTTCTCAAATCATCACCACTTGACTAAAATAAAATCTATCTATATAAAATGCTTTAAAAAACAATGTTAGTTTAAATGGTTAACCTAGATAAATGTGTGCTATTAGGCGCGTATCCAATCGTTTGTGCAGAGAAGCTAAAGCGCACTTTGCAGGACATGGAGTCGCCAGCATGATCGCTTGATTTTTTTTCTTATAACAGTGGAAACAACTGTCATTTTTGCTCATAAAGGTAAGAGTAATACATCATTCGGGACTGTTTTTTACGGTCTACTTTTATTTGTGTGCACTCACAATATCAGCATATGTTGTGCTTTTTTAGAAAACAAACAGGATACGCTTTCTGCTGTCTCGGTCTTGAGCAGGAGCGCTTCACAAAAATGAACCGAAACCCTGCAAATATTCTATTTCCCCTGGAGCATTCATCATGGTAATTACTTGCTGGCGTTTTGCGGGAAGCTTTGCGTGCACTTTAACGTGGAACTCTTCCAACATTCGCTGCTGCTGGACACTAAACACCGTCTGAGCCACTCTTGACAGTCGCGGTAGCACGTTCTCGTGTTGTTTCCACCAGTGTGGCAAATCTTTGTCATCACCATAATAATTGATGGATATCTAAAATATAAACATAAGGAGGAAGCAAGCCTGATGCCTGGCCCGTGTCTGAGCTATGACGTGAAAATTGTCCCGAAGCCATAAATAAGTTGGGGCCGTTGGGCTCAGGCTGAAATGCAGGGCTCTAAAGCGCAGCTTGTTGCATTTAAGCAGCAAAAATACACCCAAAATGACACCAAAATGGCCATCCTGGCCACACAGTTAAATAAATGATAATATTCAGTGATGTGATATGTGGAGTAACGTCTGGCGCAGTTGCAGCTTGTACTTATTACTAAAACAAGAAAGCAAACGAGTAGCATTAATAGTCATTCGTTTTAGTTAACATATGCTATGATAATTTTAACAGATTTTTATTCTTATTGTAAAATAATGGAACATTTAGGTCATGAATATTGTCTCAAAAGTCATGGAAAAGTCATGGAAATTAATTGGTAAAAATGTGTACGAACACTGTAATGTATTTACTGTCACTTTTGATCAATATAATATGTCCTTGCTGAAAAGTTTTAATTTCTTTAAAAAATAAATGAAATTTGGTAGTGTATATCACATATAATTTGCTTTATTTATTGTTTTTTTTATTTTCAAGATATGGTTTTGGACCAGCACGAGATGTCAGGTTCTTTAGGAGAGGAGGTGAGGAAGAAGATTCGAAATGCTCTCCTTAAACAGCACCACCATCAGAACCAGAAGAAACTGGCTAACCGGATCCCCATCGTACGTTCTTTCGCAGATATCGGCAGGAAGCAGTCCGAACCACACTCAATGGATAAGAATGGTACTGCTCCACATACTCCAGCAAATGCATTCTTCTACATTTGCCATGCATCTGTCTTATTTTTCTTTTTGATGGTGTGTCTGTCTGTCTGTGTGTCCTAGTTATCATCACGACCCATTCGCTCCCCAGTCCCTTCTCCTCTCTCTGGTCTAGGTTCAGCAACAATGTGAGAAACAGACAGGTTCTCTTATGTCCAGCCTGGTACCTCTGCTGTCCCAAGTGTCTGTCAGCTCCTCATAAACCCCACCCATGCCCTTCTGCCCCTCCTGCCCCAGATACCCCCCTTGTCCGACCCAAAAAAAAACACATCCCCTACAGCAAACGACTAAGCTCGCATTACGGCTACCACGTCATTCCCACCTTCGACCCTGAAGAAGAGCCACCATCAGGCAATATGATCATAGATTCGCCTGTACTCTAATGGCGCAGTCACATTATTGAAATTTTAAGAGCAAAAAAGGTCCATTCTCAATAGTGTAGCAATGTATGAAGCACAGCTCACAAAGAAGTCACTGTCAAACCAAGCAGCTTTCTATCGGTCAGTGCAATGAATTTGTGTGACCTACTTGTGACATCTGTGTGAGAATTTTTTTTACCCTCACAAGAAATTCCTGAGCATGTGGATTCCTATTAAATTGACTGGATTTTGCTCATGAAAATTCGCTGAACAGCACTGACTGTGACTGTACCTTAACGCATAGATATGGAATATCTAGATACAATAGTCGGATGATACCATGTAAGTTTAGTTGCATAGGTTTATGGGCGGATCTTGGCTTTTCCAATATGGTGGACTTGCAATTGTTATCATGGTAATTAGCAACAGTTTATTCAGAGTCATTTTAGGTATTCCATATCAATGCTCTAACCAACAATAAACGTAGCGTTAGAGTAGCATTTAACAACGTAGCATTGCATTTAACCACATAGGAAGTAGTACTGGGATTTGTAGTAGACTTTTAAATATGCAACTTCATCTAATTGTTTCTTCACTACTTCTAGATTTAGTTTCTTTAATTTGAATAAGATTTAGACAATGCTAGGAGGTTTGTAAGTGACCTCATTAACATGTTCCTTACAACATTTTTTAACAAAGTAAGTGTGCCTAGGTCTTTATCTCCATGACCGTAACATCACTGTCTTTCTTCAAAACGATCAAATCTGTTATATGATGGTCTGTTATTTATTTCCTGTTTGGTATGATTGCTGCACCGCTTCCAGGTCAGATGGTGTCTCCTCAGGCTCAGCCCACCACAACAGAAGGACGTGCGGATGGCAGTCGTGAGAACAGTGCTGTTGACTTCAGCAAAGTAAGAATGACATTCCAGACAGTAGTAAATCTTACTCTGGATCTTACTCTGGAACTTAAATATACAATCATGCACTACTGTTCAAAAGTTTGGGGTCAGTAAGTTTCTTGAGCATCAAATCATCATATTAGAATGCTTTCTGAATGATCATGTGACTCTGAAGATTTGAGTAATGTCTACTGAAAAATCAACTTTGCTAACTCAGGAATCACAACATATTTTTTGTGCCTGCAGATAGACCTCCACTTCATGAAGAAGATCCCACCAGGAGCTGAGGCATCCAACATCTTGGTGGGTGAATTGGAGTTTCTAGAAAAACCTGTGGTGGCCTTCATCCGTTTGTCCCCTGCTGTGCTGCTCAACGGACTGGCAGAGGTCCCCATTACCACCAGGTAAGAGCAGATATATCTGTGCACAAAACTCATGAGACATATTAATGTCTCAGTCGTTCAAGTCGTTAATTTTGTGGAGCGGTGTGCCTCAGAGTTCACTACTAAGTCCTTTGTCATTGTGCAGGTTTCTCTTCATTCTGATGGGGCCCTTGGGGAAAGGACCTCAGTACCACGAGATTGGCCGCTCTATCGCCACGCTCATGACAGACGAGGTCAGTACTATGGACAACACTGTTTTTATTTCTATACATTATGAAATAGGTAGCAGGCTGTTATGTGTGCTAATTTCACCTGAACTTCTCTTCTCCAGGTGTTCCATGATGTAGCTTATAAAGCAAAGGATCGTTCTGACCTTGTGGCAGGAATTGATGAGTTTTTGGACCAGGTGACTGTGCTGCCACCAGGCGAGTGGGATCCCACCATCAGAATAGAGCCACCCAAAAGTGTGCCCTCACAGGTGACCCAGTCCTCAAACTCCATGCACTGATTCATCACGGGTGCTGGAATTAGTGATGCACAGACATATCAGAAACTAAATATATTCAGCCAAAAATGAATTTTCGGTTTTGGACGAAACAGTTTTCGAGGGCTGAATTTATTGACTGAACAATCATCTTTTCCTCTTTACTGCTTAATAATATAGCACAATATAAACATGAATGAACATTAGAAGGTATGTTGAAAGAAATTGTACAACTTACTAAAATATATAATGTAATCATGTATCATGTAATCATGTTTCATGTAATCACTCAAGCAGTATTATGACAACAGAAAGAAGCCAATAAAACAGCTTGTAAACAATGTCACGTAATGTATCGTTCTGACCTTGTGGCAGGAATTGATGAGTTTTTGGACCAGGTGACTGTGCTGCCACCAGGCGAGTGGGATCCCACCATCAGAATAGAGCCACCCAAAAGTGTGCCCTCACAGGTGACCCAGTCCTCAAACTCCATGCACTGATTCATCACGGGTGCTGGAATTAGTGATGCACAGACATATCAGAAACTAAATATATTCAGCCAAAAATGAATTTTCGGTTTTGGACGAAACAGTTTTCGAGGGCTGAATTTATTGACTGAACAATCATCTTTTCCTCTTTACTGCTTAATAATATAGCACAATATAAACATGAATGAACATTAGAAGGTATGTTGAAAGAAATTGTACAACTTACTAAAATATATAATGTAATCATGTATCATGTATCATGTAATCATGTTTCATGTAATCACTCAAGCAGTATTATGACAACAGAAAGAAGCCAATAAAACAGCTTGTAAACAATGTCACGTAATGCTACATTTACCTCAAGAAAAAATATAAAAACTGAGATCAGTATTAATGTTGGTTTTGTGTCACCATCTTGCAGGAGAAACGGAAGGTTCCTCCTCTGGCCAATGGAGGTGCTGATCTGGGGGAGGCCGAGGAGCACGGAGGCCACGGAGGACCAGAGCTACAGCGCACAGGGAAGTGAGTAATCTGCAAATATGTACTGTCCATATATTTTAGCATTTGTGAATTCTGTAAATCCTCATGTCAGAGATGGAGTTGGATCTCAGAGGTGTTTTATTTGGATCTTCAGGTTTTTTGGTGGTTTTATTCTGGACATCAAGCGTAAGGCTCCTCACTACCTGTCAGATTACACAGATGCCGTCAGTCTGCAGTGTCTTGCCTCCTTCCTTTTCCTGTACTGCGCCTGCATGTCTCCCGTTATCACCTTCGGAGGTCTGCTAGGAGAAGCTACGGAAGGACGCATAGTAAGAACATGCTTATATATGCAAAACATATATCAAAGCAGAGGGGTTGATTATGATGTGACTGATGATATGTTTTTCCCATTTCTCTCATAGAGTGCAATAGAGTCTCTGTTTGGAGCCTCTATGACAGGTATAGCGTATTCTTTGTTTGCTGGGCAGCCCCTCACTATCCTGGGCAGCACAGGACCTGTCTTGGTCTTTGAGAAAATCCTCTTCAAATTCTGCAAGTGAGGCTCCTTTGATTTGCACTAAGCATTTTGAAGTATTTCAGTCAGCTCAGGGAAACTCCCTAAGAAATTAATTGCACTGATAGTGTTGTTTATTTTCACATGCAATCTGCATTTTTGTAGCACTGTATTTAATTAAAGGAAATATGCAAATCAGGTAATGATATAAACACACTCAAAAATTTAAATAAAACCATAAAAACACTAAAGTTACTTGAAATCAAATTAAATATAAAAATGTAAACTTATTTTATTTCAGCTAGCTGCCAAAGCAACATTTCTTATTTGCATTTAGTTTAACTTGATGTACTAAAATAAATAAAAATGAATAAAAACTGACGTTTTAAAAAAAAAAACTACAAGGAATAAAAATGACAAACACAAACATAATTCAAAATTTAAAATAAAATGAAAACAAAAAATTCTAAATATAAATATTTAATTAAAATATTAATAACAACTATAACAATATATTAATACTACAATGACACTGGTACCTGGTTAAATTGGGTTTATTGATTGATTGATTGATTGATTGATTGATTGCACACAATAATAAAGTTGAAGCAAATTTAGAAATAGAATACAATATTAGTGACTGGAAAATAAATAAAAAAGCTCACATGAGCTTATTCAAAGTACTCAGCCACAGATACAAATTTAGATTAACATATCAAGTTTCAAATTCATTAATTAATTATAAACAGAAATACATATTCACAGATTGCAGGTGATTAGTGAATACATTTTTTTAAAGATTTTAATTCTTATATTAGCTGAAATATTGCACCAGAAATGCAACACTATTTAGTGAACTCACCCCCAAAGTGTCTTTTATCATTTTACCATAAGACAGAGACTCATTTTTATCTGTGTTTTCTCCTCAGAGACTATGGTTTGTCCTACCTCTCCTTGCGTTTGTGTATCGGTCTGTGGACAGCCTTTTTCTGTCTTCTGCTGGTTGCCACAGATGCCAGCTCGCTGGTGTGTTACATCACAAGATTCACAGAGGAAGCCTTCGCTTCCCTCATCTGCATCATCTTCATCTACGAGGCTCTGGAGAAACTCGTTCATCTGGGAGAGACATACTCTTTCAACATGCACAACAACCTCAACCAGCTCACTCAGTACTCGTGAGTACTGACACACATATCAATCTTACTTAAGGTCACAGCTCTAATTCAGTTGTACATGTTAATAAAGTTATCAGTGTGATATAATGTGATGTATTTATTCGTGTTTTGCAGGTGTGTGTGCACAATGCCTAAAGAACCCAGCAATGCCACACTTAATTACTGGCAGGAAAAAAACATCACTGAATCTGAGATTGACTGGTTAGGCCTAGATGTAAAGGTAAGTTTGACTATTGGTGCATTCGTATTTACGGGAAGTTCGTATTTAGGAGTTAGAAATTTTCATAATAAAAAGTAGTTTATAATAGAAATGGAATAGAGAGTGTTATTATAAAAGTGTTAGAGGGTCAAGTTTTTTTTTATAAATAAAAAGAAAACAAGTAGCTAGAACAGAAATAGAATAGAGAGTGTGGGTTATAGGGTCAAGTGTAGATGGAAGAGATGTGTCTTTAGTCGTTTCTTGAAGATGACTAAAGGCTCAGCTGCTCAGGGCTCAAAGAAAGTTCAGAGTTTCCTACTCGTAATTAGGACTTTGTGGTGGCGTTTATGTGCATTCAACTCATAAATATGATGCTGGATACTGATTTAATTAAAAATAGTATGAGAAACAGTATGCATTATGCAGTGATAAATAACTAGAGCTCTCAAGCGATTACATTTTTAATCTAATTAATTACATGATGTGCCAATGAATTCATATGAATAATCACATTATTAATGGCTAGGGCTGTCAAAATTAACGCGTTAATAATGCATTAATGCAAATTCATTTTAACAGCACTATTAACGCGAATAATGCAGGTCGCATTTTCTGTTTCAGGGTTTCTGCGGGTCCTTAAACATCAAAAGGCACGATTTCATTAAAGAAATATGAGTGCTGCACGTTTCAAAGTCACCTGCTGCTGCTGCTTTGTTTACAGTCGGGGAAACCGCTCTATTTGTGCCGTTCTGAATGAATTTGCATTGTCAATAAGCCCGTCTGCTGTTTTTGTTCAGACCAAAGCGAACATCCACCCATGTTTTTATGCAGCAAACACGCAGTTGTAAATGTGAACTGGTAGATCGATAAGAAGATAATGCATTATAAAAATCTAAACAATTAAGCCAGTAAAATATAGTTATATGTTATTTAATTATTATAATAATTGATAATAATTGTTTAAATTAATATAATAATTGATATTTTTTTTACTTTTGATTAAATTTCTTAAAAATGGCTTTATTATGGTTTAATTCTTTATGCTCTATGTTGAGTATGGTTTCACTAATAATAAACATACATTTGCATAAAGCATCCATATTTGTCCATGCCCATGTTGATTAGAGTATTAAAAAATTGAAAAGTATTTATGTAAGGTACATTTAGAACAAATAAAAATGTGGGATTAAGTTGCGATTAATCACGAGTTAACTCATGACAATCATGCGATTAATCGTGATTAAATATTTTAATCGATTGACAGCCCTATTAATGGCACATTATTTGGACTGAGAAATTACCCCCCAAAATATAGACATTACTGTGTGAAATGAGAAAAGCATTAAATAGATAAAAGTAGCTTTAGAAAGAAATATGTATAAAATATGTACACTGTGGCCATAACATTGAATTTTTTTTTTCATTGGCTCACTTGATTCGTTCAAAAACGTGGATGTATTCAGTAACAAAACACTGCTGTGTTGTTTGGAGATGCACAAACGTTCTGCTGTGGTTTTGTTTTGGAACTATTTTATTGGCGAAATTGAGCAAAAACAGACAATACTGTGTCTAAAATGTAACTGATATATAGCGTCAGCACACTGACATATAGTGCCGTTGCGCTTCGGGTGTCCCGAGTTCGAATCCCGGCTCGTGGACCGATCCCGCCTGTCTCTCCCACTTTGCTTCCTGTCTACCAACTGGCCAATCAAAATAAAGGCAAAAAGCACCAAAAAATAAAAAATCTTTAAAATGTAACACAATACTAACTTGTTTATTGAACTGTTGTATAAAATCAGTATCACATAAACAGTGCACTTGTTTGTGGGATATTGCTAAACTTTATCATATCATATAAATATCTGGCAAAAATCCATACAGGTAAATTTTTGCCTTCATTTCTTGAATTTGATGGGTATATAACTGCATTCTCATAGGCTACATCACACAGTCAGTCGTCATCCTGCATCACGTTTGTTTGGAATTGCATGCAATGACGTACAGGTCTGGGCAGGGTGTGTGCGTTAAATGCATTATTCATTGAGTGCATTGCATTGTGGCATTAAGTGTTCCACACAACCTCAGCTCAGTTGTATACTGCACATTTTTACAAATAATAGGTCACCCATACATACAGAAGATTATACACCCTGCATAGTACTTTATTTTAAAAACAATATACCATGCCGAACGTTCCCACAGACACTCCCCTCATGTCTGTGGCTCAGATATGGGTTAATACATTTCAGTGACTCGTACTTTAAAAAGAGCAAGTCCTCTGCTGGGTCACCTCAGTTCCCCTTTATATTTAAGCTCCTGGACACACACAAATATACAACACACAATCTAATCCACCATAAACAAATCTTTGTGATATTTCCAGTTACACATGACTGTATATGATTTTGTCTTCTTTTTTTCTAGAGTTTGTGTTTATCTGTGTTCTTTGAAGCAGATGTGATTATTGAGTCTGGTGTTTCGTCTCAGGGCTGTGTGGAGAACAGGGGAGAGTTTGTAGGCAGTGCCTGTGGCCACCATGGTCCGTACATCCCTGACGTCCTCTTCTGGTCTATCATTCTCTTCTTCTCCACGGTTGCCATGTCCTCCTTCCTCAAGGAGTTCAAAACTAGCCGTTACTTCCCCACCAAGGCAAGAAGCTTGTGTGTGTGTTTCAGTATAGAATAGTACAATATAATATAATAATTATAATTTATTTAGACCCATTATACCTAATAGAGTAAAGAGGCACTGCTAAGCCTTTTACATTTTTAAGGCTCACAGATTTATGTTCATTTCTAGTGCTTATTCTAATTCTGTGTGTTTCTAAACAGGTGAGGGCAGTTATCAGTGATTTTGCGGTTTTCATCACCATCATGACCATGGTTCTGATCGACTATGCTCTGGGGGTCCCTTCCCCCAAACTGCAGGTTCCTAATGAGTTCAAAGTGAGTCGTTAAGAGAAGTTTTACAGTATTGTGTCATTTGTACATTTCTGCACAAATCTATCCTGTGCATATGAATATGTAATTAATCAGATGATCTCTCACAGCCAACCAGAGATGACCGTGGCTGGTTCATCAGCCCAATAGGTCCAAACCCATGGTGGACCATTATTGTGGCCTTCCTCCCAGCTCTGCTATGCACCATCCTCATCTTCATGGACCAACAAATCACTGCTGTTATTATTAACAGGAAGGAACACAAGCTGAAGGTGTGTTGCTAAGTCCTTCACAATATGCTCCTTTTGGTCAACAAATAATTCAATTTGATGTTTTTTGTTATGTATGTGTGCCTCCACAGAAAGGCTGTGGGTATCATCTGGACCTGTTTGTGGTGGGTGTGATGCTGGGGGTGTGCTCTGTGATGGGCCTGCCATGGTTCGTAGCGGCGACGGTGCTGTCAATCAGCCACGTGAACAGCCTGAAGCTGGAGTCCGAATGCTCCGCACCTGGCGAACAGCCCAAGTTCTTGGGCATCAGAGAGCAGCGCTTCACCGGCCTCATGATATTCGTCCTGATGGGCAGCTCAGTGTTTATGACCTCCGTACTGAAGGTCAGTGACCTTTGGCTCTGATTGAGTCAGCCTGCTAAGTTTGATCAACACATGATGCTTGCATTAAACTTTTGAGACGTTTCATCCTTTTTAATGGTTATTATTTTATGTTTTTGTCCTCAGAATATCCCGATGCCTGTGTTATACGGAGTTTTCCTCTATATGGGAGCGTCGTCTCTCAGGGGCATACAGGTACTGCAATTACTGAATTCATATATTGTGCATGACAGTTGTTTATTCAGCCATTTGTAGGAGTGGCTTATGTTACTTAATATTGTTTATATACTATTATGGCATATATTAATGTTTTGTATGCATTTTTATTATTTATATTTTTAATTTTAGTTTATGTTTTAGTAATTTTGTTATATGCTTTTGTCATTTTTATTAGTTTTTTATATTTCCATTTAGCTTTATAATTTAATTTCATGGTTTAATAATTTAAATTATTAATAATTTAATTTATAATTTAAGTATTTATTTATTTAGTTCACTTTTTGTTTTGGTTATTTTTATTACTTCAACTTCAACTGATTCAAGTCAGCATTTCTAATTTTCCTTGTTTTTTTTAAGTTAAACGTTTTTTTTTAAATATATTTTTATTTTATATATATATACACACACACATATACATATGGTACTTTTTAGTATTTTTTTATGATTATATATATATATATATATATATATATATATATATTTATATATCTGACCATGTTAGTTGTGTTTGCATTTGCTGTTCAGTTCTTTGATCGTCTGAGGCTGTTTGGGATGCCAGCAAAACACCAGCCTGATTTTATCTACCTGAGACACGTCCCGCTGAGAAAAGTTCACCTGTTCACCATCATCCAGCTCAGCTGCTTGGTGCTTCTCTGGGTCATCAAAACCTCCAGAGCTGCCATAGTCTTTCCTATGATGGTTATGTGTGTGTGTGTGTATATATAGAATATATATATATATATATATATATATATATATATTTATATGTAAGATATCATATGATGTCTGTGTTTTCTTGCAGGTCTTAGCACTTTTGTTCATCCGTAAGCTGTTGGATTTTGTCTTTTGTAAGCGGGATCTCAGCTGGCTTGATGACCTCATGCCTGAGAGCAAGAAGAAAAAAATGGAAGATGCACAGCAAGAGGTACCACCACCCCTCATCACCCACTGCTATTGGTTGCGGCCTGCGACCACGCTATTGGCCGGCAAAGACCAATCACTGCTGACAATGTTTTAAAAGGACAGATCACCAATGTGTTCTTTCTCTCACTTTCAGGAGAATCAGTGTGTCTTGATGGAGGATGAAGGAATTGTACAAGCGCCCTTAGAGGGGCATTGCAAGTAAGTAGAAAAAAATCAGTGTTAAAAATGGGTAGCCTGCTGTTGTTACCACTTCTATTTAATCTAACCCTTAAATCTAGTTTTGCTAGAGTATTTATATTAAGTTAGTGATTTAAAAAACATTTTATTGAATAATTAATTTGACCAATTATTTAGATGTTATACAAAGCACATTTTTAAAGATTTTTTTAATTAAATTTATTTATTTGTTTGTTTGTTTGTTTATTTAGAAAACTACCGTTCAAAAGTTTGGGTCAGTAAGAAATGAATGCTTTTATTCAGGAAATTGTTCAAAAGCTGCAATAAAAGCATTTAAAATGTAACAAAAGATAAAATAAATGCTGATAAAACAGATGCAAATAAACACTGTTCTTTTTAACTTGTTATTAATTAAAAAATCCTGAAACAGTTTCCACAAAGATACTAAGAATCACAACTGTTTTTGACTTTGATAATAATAATAAATGTTTGATGAGTAGAAAATCCTTATATTAGAATGATTTCTGAAGGATCATGTGACACTGAAGACTGGAGTAATGATGCTGAAAATTCAGCTTTGACAACACAGCAATAAATCACATTTTAAAATACTTAAAAAAAATGTTTTTAATTGTAATCTTTTTTTGTAATACTGTAATACTGTTTTGTAATGTATTTTTTCATACCAACCCAAACTTTTGAACAGTGGTGTATTTATTTTGATGAAACATTTTTACTGTAATAGTAAGATACATTCAACGCCCCAAAAAAGTAATTTCATTTCACTTGTTTCATTTAGAGCCGTACAGCTTGCAGTCATTAATTTCTGTAAAAATGTTTAGATGGCCTTCTCTCTTCTTGAAGGACAGTTTCTTTCAAAATAGATGACAAAACAACAATAGTCTGAGATTAAAAATGGCATAAAAATGTGTTTGTGTTCATCAAGGGATGATCCTTCCACAGTCAACATTTCAGATGAAATGACAAAGACGTCTTTTGGAAATATCTGGAAAGGCCTCAGCACTGACAGCACCAACAAAGATCAAAGCTCAAAAAGGTTTGGATTTAATATTCCCTCAGTACATTCTCTCACACACACGACAATCTTCAGACATGTCACTTTAATCTCACCACACACCTGCACACATTGCATTAGGATAATAAAAATACATCGTATTTTATGCTAATGGGACATGTTCAGGTTCTCAAGTCAGTAGTGAAGACCTTACAGCTCGTTTTATTCCTCCTACGGGACAAAACCTCTGTTAAAGATTCAGTCAACTACATTTTCATTCTTAGATCTGAGTTTGGTCATATCTGAACCCTTTTATGAAATCCCCAACAGCCTTACTCAAAAAATGCTAAATGAATATATAGGATTGCTAAAACATCCTTATCCTAATTTGGAATCAATTCCCAGTGGAATTAAATAAGACTCTTACTGGATAAAGTGAAATTCTTAGATAACTAAATAAAGTCAATTCAATAAGGATCCTTCAGGATCTGCACTTCATTATGATGATATTCACCTAGCAATCTGTTTAGTGAACTCCTCAAACGTGCTGTTCTCTTTAAAATGGAAGTGTGAGTATCAGGCTCCCATCATGACTGAATTTTTCATCCCTGTCACTCATAAGCTCCCTCTCCTAATGTCTCAGATGCTTATTTCCAAAGGTAAGATGCAACCCATCCCGTCTGTGCACGATCACTGTATATACACTAGTGCTGTGGGTGTCTGGCCTCCATTTCTTTGGTGCTATGGTTCATGTTTCCTACATGTTCAAACCTTTTCTCCTTTTCTGAAAAACGTTGTCTGTCTTCCTCGTCAGAGTTTAACAACAATGAAATAATTCCAGGCTTTACAAAGGGCATCTTACTAAAAACACTGGCATCACAATACGAGATTCAAGCTTTTTGTTCCAGAGCATTTTGGGCTTTGTGTGCATGTTTGTGTGTATTTGTTGAGAATGTTTAATGCATGCAAAAGCATGATTTTCGGATTGGTCAAAGGTCAAGCTTTAGCGCATGCACAATGTTAAAGGAATAGTTCACCCAAAAATGAAAATTTGCTGTAAATGTACTCATTCTCAGGCTATCCAAAATGTAGAAGAGTTTGTTGCTTAATCGGAACAGGTTTAGAGAAATGTAGCATTACATCACTTGCTCACCAATGGATCAACTGCAGTGAATGGGTGCCGTCAGAATGAGAGTCCAAACAGCTGATAAAAACATCTTAATAATCCTCAAGTACTCCACAGGACTCCCGTCCATCAATTAATGTCTCATGAAGTGAAAAACTGCATGTTTGTAAGAAACAAATCCATTGTTAAGACTTTTTTAACTTCAAACTGTTGCTTCTAGAATATGAGTTCTCTATCCATAATATTATCATTATTTTTCGTAACCGACAACCGACGCTCGTTAACCGATTGTTATCCGTTAACCAACAAGATTATTGAATTAAATTAGAAAGGATAAGTGTCTGTGACCCGTTAAAAAATACTAACATTTGTTTTCCGGGGATTACTTTTACATGTGCAAAAAGCAGCAAACAATAGAACATGAGGATTCACATGGTCATTGTTTATTATGTTTGTAAACATTTCGTGTCGGCATTAGGCCTATTTCTGAATGAAACTATAAAATGCAACTTATACACGACTTATGTTTTTTCCCCAAAAAAACATTTTTTTTTATACGCGTAGCGTATTTTAACCATGCAGCAAACCTTTTTAAATATTTTGATACATTACTGAAAAAATAAATAATTAAATGACTTTTTAAACCGTTTAACTGATTGTATTAATCGGTCGAAATTCTTACGGTCGGTTAACTGGTTAAAATGAACATCCCTAATCCATAATATAGCTTTCTCTTGTGGAAAAGTCATCTCATCTGAATCAGTTCAAAAATAGTTCTAAACAAATATGTTGGTGCATTTTGAAGTAAGAGAACAAGTGGGGATTTTTCACCGGAGGTGATAGAGGTATGGATTATGGACTTGTCTATTTTGGCCAGATTTGACGGTTTAAAATTAAAACACCTTAATGATAGATTTGTTTCTTACAAACGCAAAGCTTTTCACTTCACACAATGTTAATTGATGGACTGGAGTCATGTAGATTACTTGTGGATTATTGTAATGCTTTCATCAGCTGTTTGGGCTCTCATTCTGACGGCACCCATTCACTGCAGAGGATCCATTGGTGAGCAATTAATGCAATGCAAAATTTCTCCAAAGCTGTTCCAATGAAGAAACAAACTCATCTATATCTTGGATGGCCGCCGAGCAAATTTTAATTTTTGGGTGAACTATTCCTTTAACTCACTGAGGTCAGACATTCATGTAAAATAGGTCTGTCAAAGTTAACACATGCAATTAGTTAAATGTACTTCATGCTGTTTTGTTTGTTTGTTTGTTTTAATACTGATAATGAAAATAAAATGGTCCCTAATGGAAATCAGTAATGTTTCTCAGGAAAATCTGTGTGTAGAATATCATTTATTTATAATACAAACAAACCCATATGGTCTGTTTAACAAAAACTGTTTGGATTTTTTTTAATTGTGAAATGCATATCTAGAGTAATTATAGCTATGCATATATGTTCTACTATGAGAGTCATCAACACAGTAATTACATATGTATTTTTTCCAAAAAAGACAAAAAAACAAATGCATTAACAGGTTAATTTTGAAAGAAGTGTTTCCTATGAATTAATATTTAAACTGTTTAAATATGATACATATTTAAATATGTTTAAATATTAAATTAATAATTAAATAATTTTAATATGAGTTATTTAATTATTCATTACTATAATCAATGAAATATTTTAATCAGTTGACAGCACTAATAAATCAATAATCTTGCTTTAACTTTTGCTCATAAAGAATGAGCTCACACAAAACAGTTTGTATTTATTTGCTACAACAAGACACTCTTGTCGCTCACAGTTTCTCATCAGCTTTTCAAAGTGTGTCTTTCTCTGTTATTCTGCAGCTCAACAGTTGAAGTTGCCATTGGACATAAAAGCGGTGATGAAGAGAAGGAGGCAGATTTGGATAGAGAGACAAGTTTGTGAGTTCACGTATTTCAAAACAGTCTGTATTGTGCCACACTACAAGCACCACTAAATGCTTCTGTTCTGTAGGTCTGCGTGTGCCAGTCTGTGCTAAGGCACCTTGTTATATTTACATGTTTTTTATGTGTGTGTGTGTGTGTGGAGATGTTTGTTTCGAGCATCTGAATATGTCAGAATTTGCCGCCCACAAGGAGGATTGTTGGGTTGTGTGCTTGTCCAGTCCAACTGTAGTCAAACTGTAGTTTCACCTATAGAAATGAAACAAAGTTAAGGTTACTTTTGTGTTCAACCAGGTAGAGTGTATTTTGTATGTTTTATATTTTTTTGAAAGTAGATTCTATTGAAATTCCTTGTCTTATAGCCTGAATATGTTTATTATATGAAATTCATTCTTTTTTTTATTATGCATAAATGATAAATATGAATTTGCAGGCATAGTTAAAATATCATAATAGTAAAAAGCAATTTCTGAAAGAAGATGCAAATGTAGTTATATCAGCTTCTTCAGTGTCTGTGCGTCAATATGTTCTCCACATTACTTCATAAGATACTTGATGTTAACATCTACTACTTATGAGCAGTGACCAACATTTTTAAAAGAACTTTTATGAACAGTTTTCTCATTTTATGGTAAGATTTCCCTAAAAACACACACATGTGAGCCAGGACTGTGCTCATTTTAGCCTACAACATTTTCTCCCAAACTTCTTCATTTGAAACATCCATATTCATTTATTCACTTGTTGACCTGGACTTGTTTTTTCTTGTTTTTTAATGATTATTACAAAGCTTTATCTCATTTTGTGTAGCACTTAACCATGCAAATAATAGTAAACATATATTTTGTTAAAACGTTGCAAATAATATAACTGTATAGTGCGGGTTTTCACAATGTTTCTGAGTGGCAGGGCATCTGTCTCCTCTACAAGACTCATTTGCAAGCCGAGAAAAGACCTCATCACTCAAACGAGCGAATTATACTATTACTGCCGATAATACAAAAATCCTACAAGAAATGCAATAATATTCCTTTTCGTAAGAGGGGCATTACACCATACACTAACCAGAGACAAATCTAACATTTATCATCAACACACGTACATGTGATTCTGTATTTTGTCTATGTGTACAATCTTAAATAAAGTAATTTAATATGTGGATAGATTTAAATATGTATAGACTGTGGGGGTGGGGGGTATGAATGTTTTCATGTTACTGTCAGTGTTATTACAGTGTTTTGCCATTTTCCAAGTTGGTTAACAAAACTACAACACGCACATCTATGTCATGCACATGTCGGCAGCATTACGTTCTGTTGATTTCACTGTAAAATAATCATTACTTCCTGAAAACAGTCTCTGTTGTTTAAGTTATTCATTCAAATGAATATGTATCATTACAACTGTGAGCAATTTCCATCCGAATAAATGTGACTGCAAATAAACTGACGCTAAAGTGTGTTTTTGCGACAGTTGATATTTTTACATTTACTATATACAAGGGATATTTTATCAGTCCCTAAAATGGCATGATATTGAAAGGTAAGTTTAACACATAATTAACGAGTTATTCAAATGCCCATGTGTATAAGGGATGTGTCCTGTGTCCTCTTTGTAATTTAGGATTGATGACGTTGCAAAATAATTCTAGACAGATTTTTGTTGTCTTTGTTCTGGGTCTGACTGAGCTTTAAGAGAAACTGTCACTGAGGCCGGAAACTGCTGGAGTCTGAGGTTATTTAATATTGATAAGCAGTTTTACAATGAAGTCCTCTGAGGGTTACCATCTCAAGGTTAGGGACACAATACAAACCCCCACATCTTCAAAGTATCATAAACCAGCTTAAAAAGCAGACCGCTTCGGTAACTGCTTTATTTTATGTTATTTTTTATTTATTTTAATAATTTATCCATTAATTTACACTGATAAAATCGTGTTAGCTATTATTTTCTTCAAATACGGTGTTAGAAAGGATAAATATTCGTAGATGTGGGCTTGTATCCTTCAGGTAGGCTACACTATACATTTAAACTACTTCTGCAATAAAAGTAGGCCTATAGAATTACCTTTTCCAGTAAATTCTGCATGATTAAATGTTCAGTGTAGGCTACAGCTTCTCTTTTTGTGGTTTGCATTTACCTTCTGATGTCTGGTGCGTCAAGCAGGTAAACTTACATCTTTGTGGTAGTTAGTCCTTATTTAGCAAAATGATTTATTTATTTAGGTTTTGTTTAATTCACGATTGAGGTATGTATGTGTTATGGGGCTGACAAGACTTGAGACGTGTGGATCCATGTGCAAGCTATTTATTAGCAGAAGACAGAGACGTGGTCATAGAACAGGCATGGGTCAGAGAATGGCAGACAGGTATAAGGCGGGCAAGACAAGAAGAAACCTAAGGCTAGCGGAGGTCAACGATCAGCAAACAGAATCAAAGGGGCGAGACTAGAGAGATAAGTCCAGGTACAAGGCAAGGTCCAGGCAGGGGCAAACAGTATCAAAATAAGGCAAACGAGAGGAGGAATCCGAGAGACACTGGCGAAGATCAAGAAACGAGAACACAGAGAAGGCAAGACTAAGGTGAGGCTATGACAAACTAAACAGGCTCCGTAGTGTAGCTATCGCTAGGGGAGTGATAAACGCTAAACAATACTCGGCAGACGGAAGGGATCAGAGTGAGTGTTAAATACGGAGTGAGTCATATGAAACAGCTGTGTGCAATCAGTGCTCTGTGCAATCAGTGCAATGAATGATGGGATATGTAGTCCGGGGTGATATGCAACAGGGTGTAGTGCGAGAGTCAATGAAAATGGAAAGGATGACCTCTGATGGCTAGCAGTCGGAAGTTCATGGACCGGATTCGTGACAGTATGGAGGACGAAACCTGCAAAAACAAGCAGTATTGCAATTAAGAGCTATGCAAGCATTAATATTTTACATTGGCCACTTAAAATCTTTCATGATTGAGCTCTCTCATGATTATAACTACAAAACTAACTCTATGAAAAAGTGTAAGATAATAATCAGTCACCTTGACTGATGAAGTTAATATGCATGCGCAGGCAAACGCTCAAGCGCGTCACACACGATCCGCCTACTCTTGCATAATTGACACCCTCTCATTAGCATGTCCCGCAGAGGGGGAAAAAAAGTGGAACTACATTCAGAAATAAATGAGTGATCAAAGGAAAATAGTTAGGTTGAGTTTAGCATTTCCTTTAAACATTTTAATTTGCCCACCAATTTCTCAGAAATAAATGAGTGATCAAAGGAAAATAGTTAGGTTGAGTTTATTTGCCTACTTTCATCACATGTATAATTATGTATTTAAACAAGAATACGTGTATTTATGCACACATTTATTTATTTGTGTGTTTATTTTATTTATTGTTTTTGCAGGTTTCGTTCTCCATAGGTATGAGTGTGTTTACATTTATACAACACCAAGGTACGTGGGGAAACCAATCAAACATTAGGCCTACTTAGAAAAAAAATAGTTAGGTTGAGTTTAGCATTTCCTTTAAACATTTTAATTTGCCCACCAATTTCTATTATTTATTTGCCTACTTTCATCACATGTATAATTATTTATGTATTTAAACAAGAATACGTGTATTTATGCACACATTTATTTATTTGTGTGTTTATTTTATTTATTGTTTTTGCAGGTTTCGTCCTCCATAGGTATGAGTGTGTTTACATTTATACAACACCAAGGTACGTGGGGAAACCAATCAAACATTAGGCCTATTTAGAAAAAAAAAAATTCTAAAAATGTAGGCCTTGGAAATTTCCAAATGCTGCCTATAATTCTGATCCAGGTTTTAGGACTACAGACTGCAAGGCTCTTGTGCATATGCTGCTCATCCAAAGGCAAAGTAGGCCTACAAAACAAGTGAAACTGATTTCTGATCTTATAAAATGCAATGCAGTTCTTTTCACGCTCATGTGCGTTCATCTGTTCCTTCCTCTGTCTGCCGCAGACTTAAAAAAAAAAAAAAAATTGTATTAATTAATTGCTTACAGGCGTTATAGATTATCCTCGTTTCAACAGTCAAGGCCACGTTCACACAGCAGCAGAATGCGGTTGTCAATCCCAAAAACTGACAGTGTGAACGAAACCTCAGATTTACGATTGATATGTTAACTTTTGGTGGAAGTAAATATCAAATCATATGCAGTATTTTGAGTCTATGGGTCCAGGCGTTTGCCCCGTATGTCCAATAGATGGCGTGTTTGCGACATGAATGTCATTCTAATGTGTCCAGCAGGAGGCGCTGCAGTACAGGCTTCATCGCCCTTGTCAGGAAGTGGCCCAACATCGCCACCTGGCCGTGAAAGTTTAGTAGGTCAATGTTTTTCATGCCCTAAATCAGTGGTTTTCAAACGTGGTCCTGGAGACCCACCTCTCTGCATATTTTGCATGTCTCTCTTATCTACACTCCGTTCAGTTCATGCAGTCTCTCCTAATGAACTGCTGATCTGAATCAGGTGTGTTAAATAAGGGAGACACAAAATGTGCAGAGCGGTGGCTCCCCAGAACCACGATTGAAAACCACTGCCCTAAATGACATTTACGACATTTTCTCTGTGCAATTATCTCAACATTTACTTCAGCTACTTTTCCCATTTCTAACAGTCTTGTGTATAATTTAGATGATTATTTAAAAAAATAATCATTCTGAGTGACACTGTGCAGTGCAGAACACATTTAGTATGGATGTTGAAAGGATGAAGTGTCTGTTTGGGAAAATAAATAAGAATAAGTTGCATATATCATCATGAAAACAAGATCAACACTCAGTACTATCCTTAATTACCCTTAAAAGATTTTTGAGGAGTAAAACATGTGAAGTGAGTTTACATGTTATGGCAGGAGCACAGATGGCGTCTCATCACCCAACGTTTCCAAGGTGATGATCGGGCTCCCAAGGGCAGTGTCAAGTAAGATGAGAACGGCCCATCAGCTCACATCAAAACGTGGAAAAGAGCCCAGCTCAGTCATATGTGATGCAGCTCCTCAACAACAAAAGTAAGTAAATAAAAAAGAAAACATGTGAAATATAACATAATTGTATCAAATGATATGTATAATATTTAGATATTGTTTGATATTTTTGAACATATTTACAACATTCAATCTTTTCAAATATGCATTAAAATATGTATTATTATTCTTATTACTATTATTGTTATTATAATTAAATATTATATTATTTTTAGTAGTAGTATGTAATTAAATTACTATTTTCATTATTATTATGATTATTATTATTAGGAGGAGTAGTAGTAGTATTTTAATGCATGTTTGTCTGCATTTGCAGACTTACACGTCATATATATATATATATATCACATAATATAAAGTATTAAGGACTCAAATATGTACATGTGTATATGTACAGTTTATTCCTGCATTACCTAACCAATGCACCAAAATTAATGTTTAAAAAAAGGAACACAAAATAATGACATTGAGTATTAATATTATTAAATATTATTTGTGCATTTATTAATAATGTATTAAATTAATACATTGATCAATTAAATAACAATATAAAAGTATAATATAAAACAATGTATAATTTAGTATATTGAATAATATATTAAAAAACATATTTTAATTACTTTAACATTTTACAAGAGATTTTGTTTTACAGCAGAGGCTGTATGCATTAATTATAATAATACATATTATTTTATTATATTCTTAATAATATACTCTAATATATCAGTTAATAATATAATTAATTGAATAATAGTTTTTAATGAATTATGCTTTTTACAGCAACGGGACTATTACAGTACAGGCTGTATGCACAAGGCTCCATTCCACTGAATCCATTGTTCCAGGTTTTGTGTAAAGGGAGCTTTGTGTCTCTCTGAAGGCAGGTACTGTTGCCTCCCTCTGATTCCCTTCCTGGTGCCTGACACAGTCTTTAGGATAGAAGCCATAGAGCTGGTTTGAGAGGCGGTAAAGTCCAGCCAGCATCACTCAGGCACTGAGATTCAGAATGAATGATTAACATCACAAAAGCCTCTCTGCATCTCCACACTGTAGAACAAAAGAGCCGGATTCATCTGCCGGTGTCACCGGCTCTCTCTCTCGTGTGTCTTCCATCGGAGATCTCCATCAAGGGCTGGGAGTGGCTGCTGTCTTTGTGAGAGGAGAGGAGAGGAGAGGAGAGGAGAGAGGCCACCGTTCACACCCTGAGATGCTCTGCAGGCTGGAGGAGGAAGAGGAGATGTCTCTACTGGAGTTACAGCAGAGGGTGGACTGTATCATCACCCATGTTGGTGAGTGGATTATTCTCTGCTGAGGCTGATGGGGGTGTGTTACAGCTGTGATTGATCTTTCTATCGCTGATTCAGATGCGGTCCATGAATTCTGGGGTTTAGGGGAAACCATGAGGTTTCCTGATGGACAGTGATAGAAGCTTGATTTTAGACCTCTATGCTTTATTTTAGCATTGAACTTCATGTTATCACACACAGAATGTGAAGATGGACAGCAATTGCAGAATTGTATTGGTTTATTTTATTTTACTATTAATTTTTATTTCTTAATTTATGGAGGGGATTTTGAGGTTATTAGGTCTTTGCATAGGAATTACCAACTGATTTTGTTTCTAATTTTGCGCCTGTTTGTTTCAGAATCACATACTTCATTTAATAAAATTAATTCAATTAAAAATACCCTTTCAGCAAATTCAGAAAATAAATACAGCTGAGTCAAATTTAGATACAGCTTCTCAACTAAATAAAAAATAAAATGTGGACTTTTTTTATTATTATTATTATTATTATTAATACATATTTGTGTACACTTGTGTGTATAGATTTAGACAAGGCTTTAACTATTTTCACATTTACAGTTTACCACTGCATTACCTGTCCAAAGTAAAAACATTAATTCCAAATTCAGTTATTAGGTCTTTGCATAGGAATTACCAACTGATTTTGTTTCTAATTTTGCGCCTGTTTGTTTCAGAATCACATACTTCATTTAATAAAATTAATTCAATTAAAAATACCCTTTCAGCAAATTCAGAAAATAAATACAGCTGAGTCAAATTTAGATACAGCTTCTCAACTAAATAAAAAATAAAATGTGGACTTTTTTTATTATTATTATTATTATTATTATTATTATTATTATTATTAATACATATTTGTGTACACTTGTGTATAGATTTAGACAAGGCTTTAACTATTTTCACATTTACAGTTTACCACTGCATTACCTGTCCAAAGTAAAAACATTAATTACAAATTCAATATTAATAATAATATTACACATTATTTATAGTATTTATTAATACTATATTCTATTAATATATTATTCAATTAAAAAATAAACAATGTGTGTGTAATTAATATAACATAATATAAGTTAATTATTATTATTATTAGATATTTATTTAAACATTTTACAAGAGGTGCTGTTTGACTATAAACAATGCAGGCTGTATGAATAAGGCTCCATTCCACTGAATCCATAGCAGAAAGCAGTGATTTTAGTGTATCAAAGTGCAAAGATGCTATTTAATTTGATTATTTTTTAGCATTTAAATATATGACTTTTTTTGAGATTACGGTAATGTCTTTGCATAGAAACTACCAGCTAATAAGGGATGTCTAATGAAATGATGGCACCTGTTTGTATCAGAATCACATCTTAATTAATTTGACATTTTCAGCAAATTTTAAAAATAAATGCGGTATGTAAAAAACAGCATAGATAAATCTGGTTGAATAAGAAATCTCCTCTCTGAGAAGGTGTTTACACCACACAGTTGTATTTTTCATCTTCCTGTACCATGAAAAGCAGGGAAATATCCAGGTGCTTCCCCATGCCAGTGCGTGAAGTAGGTTATTGTGCCATGCTGCTGTTAGCGCTGTCCTGCATGAGAGAGAGGCACTGCTGCCGCCCCCACTGCAGCCCTCGGGGGACGTAAAGTCCGTTGCCATGGAAACTGAGATGGGCCAGCTCAGCCATATTGATTCACAGAGACACTCCATGCTTTAAACACACACTCACTGTTTCCTAAGTTCATTATCCGCATTATAACACACCGCTGCTTCAGCTTTCTGAGCCAGCTGAAAACCAGCAGGCTTTTTAAACAATGGTTTAAACCATTTGCTTTCAATTCACTGCACTGAACTGGACTTTCAAACTAGAAGTTTGAAATATCCAAACTTATTGGATGGCCTCTCAAACCTGCCTTTGGTTTTGAACAAACAATAGAAAAATACAAGAGTTATTTCTGGTTCTGTTTTGCTGAGAGGAAATCAGCATTAGCGGCATCTCTGGTGATTCGTCAGAGTATCTGCCTCTCTGAGTGAGTCACAGATGTGGCCATCCGGCCCTGTAATAGCAAGATGACTAAACACTGAGCGGTTCTGCTCTCTGATTGGTCACATATGACATCACTCTCGTGTTCATTTCAAAGCTGAGTGATAAATTGCTCATTTCTGGATGTAGAGCTCATGAATATTTAACATGGCGGATGAGCAGTTAAGCGTTCAATAAGACGACAGCATCTGAGCCTAACACAGTGTACATTTGCATATATTAGCCGATCTTCATATTTACACTACCTTTCAAAAGTTTGGGGTTGGTGGTATTTTTTTTTTTCGTGTGACTGAAGACAGGAATAAATTACATTTTAAAATATATTCAATAGAAAATAATATTTCACAGTATTACTGTTTTTACTTTATTTTGCAGCCTTGTTGAGCATAAGAGACTTCTTTCAAAAACATTTAAACAATTTTACCGACCACTTTTAAATGCAAGTTTAATAAGAAAAAAATATTGGTGACATTGGGGTATATTTCATCTTTACCCTTTTTTCTTCACTTTTAAAGAAGAATATGGGAAAAATTTTGGCTTTTTGGTGATGCTGAACATAGTACAGGTTTGACATGGGTAAAAAAGGTTTAAACAATATCATAACAACATTACTGCAATGTTAGGAAAGACTTTTACTTTGAATGGTTTTTAATGTTATGAATACCTTTTTTTTATGACTTTACAACAAAGTTGTTTTTGTTTTGTTGTTTTTTTTTATTATTATTTAGGCTGACTTCCCTCTGAGAGTCTACGCTTTAATCAGACAGTCATTCTGACTCCACTGCTGCTTAAAGGTTGTTTAAAATAATAAAAAAACAATGTTATTCAGTCATCCTAAACTAATCAGGATAAAGGGATTAACAGAAACAAGCCAAATACTGGGCACTGGTACAGAGATAAAACACACACACAGCATCACACCCCCAAGCTTAAGCACACACACATTGTCTGAATTTCTGAACACCAATCAGTTGAAATTTCATTCATATCATTGTATATCATAACAGTATTTTTCACAGAACCTGTTTTTCAATACACTATCTTTCAAAAGTTTAATGTCAGTAAGACTTTAATGTTTTTGAAAGAAGTTCATTATGCTCACCAAGGCTGATTTTATTTGATCAAAAATACAGTAAAACAGCCATATTGTAAAATATTATTACAATTTAAAATGACTATTTTAATAGATCTTAAAATGTAATTTATTCCTGTCAGGCAAAGCTGAATTTTCAGCATTATTACTCAGTCTTCAGTGTCACATGATCCTTCAGAAATCATTCTAATATACTGATTTGCTGCTTAGGAATTTTTTTTTTTTTTACTATCAATGTTGAAAACAGTTGAGCTGCTTAATATTTTGGTGGAAATTCTTCATTTTTTTTCATCAGGATACTTTGGTGAATAGAATAGAACAGCGTTTATTTGAAAAAGAAATTTTATAACACTATAGAAATGTACTTACTGTCACTTTTGATCCTTGCTAAATAAAAGTATTAATTAAAAAAAAAAAAAAAAACTCTGACCTCAAATTTTTAGCGTATGGCTGTAATATATCAAAACTCATTGTCTTCAAGAGACCAAACTTCATTTTGTGCTCTAAAAATAACATAAAATAACAAAATAAAATACGCAGTTACATCTTCCATTTTTTGTCTGTGTGTTTTAGTAGTTTATGCTTCTTAGTTCCTGACTGTTTGTTGAGATAGTGAATTGGTGGGTTCTTGTTAAATGTGAGCCAAAATCATCACAATTAAAACAACCAAAGACTTAAACTATTTCAGTCTGTTTGCATTGGATTTATTTAATACACGAGTTTCACAATTTGAGTTGAATTACTGAAATAAATTTACTTTTCCACGACATTCTAATTTATTGAGATGCACCTGTACAGCCCAAAATCCTTGAACTGGGCTTTATTTCAAGCTGCTATCAGCGTGACAGTATCTCCAAAGACTTGGACTCGCAATAAAACAGCAGCAGTGAGCAGTGACGCTCAACAGCAAATCCAAAAAGGTGAACAATAGGAAGGTCATTGTACTTCCTTCCCTCCCTCCTCTCCTCGCCCCGTGTGCTGCTCTGTATAATATCTGTTATAGCTTCAATGCTGCGCTTATGTCAATCAATATTTTATTCTCACACTGTCTAGGTTAGATTGCTCAGATATACAGGAAGTTCTCCTTCCGGATCAAAGTCAGGCGTAGTCTAGTTCTCAGAAACAAAATGGGGCTCTTCACTCATCCCAAAACAAACTCCAGCATATTCAGTTGTCAGACATGACTGGGACTTTGAACGGGACTGGCTTCTATGGTAAGATGAAACCACAAAAAAAGGAGCTTTTTGGCAGCAAACCCACCAGATGAGTTTGGTGCAAACAGGGATAAAAAGTACCCCATGTCCACAGTTAAATATACTGCTGGATCTTTAATGTTGTGGGCCTGTTTTTCTGCCAGAGGTCATGGACATCTTGTTGAGATACATGGCATCATGGATTCTATCAAATACCAACAGATAAAAAAAAATCTAAACCTGACTGCCTCTGTTAGAAATCGTATTATGGGCCATGGTTGGAACTTCCATCAGGACAATGATCCAAAACAAACATCAACACAATGTCTCACTGAGCACAAAATGAAGCTTCTGCCATGGTCCCAAGTCCTCTGACCTGAACCCTATAGAAAATTAGTGTGGTGAACTGAAGAGAAGAAGCACCAGCATGGAGCTGAGAAAACTCAGAGCTGTTATCTTGGGAAAAGAATGTTGCATTAATTGGGTGCCGATAATTGTGGCTAATGTGAACTAGAAAAAAAATTCATAATAAGATTTTCCCCCCACTTGCCATTGTTTTACTTCAATGATAGGTTTGAATTTTGTGAATTTTTTGAATGAAAGATCAAAAGGATAAACGATTTATTTTCACAGCCAACTTTGCTCATATTTACCA